GTATATGTATATGTATATGTATATGTATATGTATATGTATATGTATATGTATATGTATATGTATATATGTATATGTATATGGAATTGATTTGCTTTGGCAGGTTACAAAGAATGTCTCTAAGACATACTGTATCCTATTTGTCATGTTTTAGTTATTTCTATATGTGTTATGCTTCACCTACTTCATTTTTTTTAAAAGCTGGAATTATTTAAATCAAGGGTCAATATGTACCTCCTCCTCCTCCTCCTGTTCCTCCTCCTCCTCCTTCAGAACATTGGATCCCTAAAATTAACCGAGCCTTTATATGGATATCAAATCACACTGGAAATACAAGAGAAGAAGAATATATAGCTTGGAAAGTACTGGGCTCTTGATGACACTGTTCCATAAAACTAAAACTATCCTTTACAAAGTCACCCTCCATATCTGGTTCACTTGCTCTGCATTTGCATTTCCTAACTCCCCTCCCCCACTCTCAGTCCATCACTACTAACCTCATTTAATTATCTGTTAATGATAAATCAAAAACCTTTCTTTTTGCTGGGGTCTTTTGGAAACTTCTAAGGAACCAGCAAACTATTGCAACTTACTTCAGTTATAGGAGATCTGCAAAGTATATCCTACGCTCCACGCAGATGTGATCGTTATTTATTAATTGTTCAATTTCAGGAATTACTTTATCACAGAAATTGGGGTGGAGACCTAGAAGATAATGAGAACTCAGCAAAAGCATACTGATGCTTAGAAATACCTATACAGCAAAAATTAGTTTCCTAGAAACTTTAATGAGTTAGACCTTTCTTTGCTGGGAAAACCAATAAAAATAAAGAGCTGGCAGGGTCTATACTAAGGAGGGTTTACTGGTATACTTAGCAAACAGAATAGGTAAATATGCCTTTAAGAAAAGCTTTAAATAACAGCAGATTTCTTGAACAGATATGAAATTCTAATAGAAGATGAGAGATTATGAGAATTCTGTTCTTGCTATTATTAGAAGAAAATTCTGCTCCATTCCAGGTTGGGTCAATGAATAGAAGCACACCTGCTTATAGAGGAGGTATAGTTTATTCAATAGCAAAAGCCAACAGCTCAATAAGGTGGGCACACATTGAAAAGCAAGATTAGAAATATTTGTAGGATTTTTTAGGTTTTCTGCCTCAGGGAAAGGGGTTGAGCTGCATTCAATCTGAAGGAAATATGATATTATCATCCCATGGGTTGAGACAATCTTCATCTATTTTGTGCTTTCAGATATTAGCCTTGGGTGATGGGACCAGATCTGGGGAATCTTTAGTGTGTATGTGAACAATTTCCAAACCTTGAAGGGATTTCTTAAGATTTTATTTATGTTATTTATATTGGCTAATTTCTGAGGGACAGATTCACTTAGCCAATTTCATCTCAAGTGTCAATATGATAGGAAAAGCTTAAGCTGTCCTTTGGTTGTATTGGTTAGGGTTCACTGACAGGTCAAGGATGACCAAGGTCAAGTGACCTGAGTGGCAAGGGTGGCATAGAGGCTTTTACCTTCTTACACCCACATTTGGCCATGCTCTGTCAATAGAGTGCCCTTCTACTGTAGAAATACAGCACCACAGATTGAGTTAGTGCTTGTGAGTTATCATTCAGGCTTAATAAAGGGCAAACAGAATAATATCAAGAAATCATATTCCAGCTATTATCTCGTTAAGGCGGGGCTAGTGTGTTTCTATTACGCTTTATTAAAATCAAATAGATACATCAATTAAAAAAATCATGATTTTTATTCTTTCTTTATTCTGCTAAGATGAATGTTGGGAAAAAAAATAGAACTTAGCTTTTTAAAAAGTTTGGGTAATTGTTTTGGGGTGCATATAGCTTTTAATGCTAAGAGCTTCTGTCAGGGTTCCAAGTAAGGCCCATTCAACAAGAACTCTGAGGCAGGCGATTTCCTCAAAGAACATTTTTATTAGGACATATCAAATTGACAACTTCCATTTGGAAAACCAGCTCTACGTTGGTGCTGGTTTTCTCCCAGAGTCTCAGTCACATGATCCAATCAGCATACAGTCCAGTTGCAGGATGACCTCAGTCTCCGCCCTGCAGACACCTAAATGTCCTTGATTCCCAGGAGAAAGAATTTTATTTAGACTACAACACCCCAGTTAATCTCTACCAACCCCACTCCCTAGCCCTTTTATGCCAGGCTGTGTCAGCCCTGAAGCCGTGAGAAAAGAAACCTCTCTAGCAACTACACAAAAAGAAAATGGCCACAGTTCAGCCAAGTTTGAGGGCTGACAGCTTCATTGAAAAAATGGAAAAGTGCATGGAGACAAAAGGGCAATATGGATAGAGCCAGGAAAAGAAAAATCATGAGGGATATAAACATTAATATGTAATACATGCAACTCAATAATAAATATAGTTACGTGTCCACAGTTTCCACCTAGATGCTCTCCCATATCTGAAGTCTCCCATAGCAGAAGTTTCTGCTTCTGAGATTCTACTCTTTTTAGGGGAAATATGCTGCCTTTTTAATATTTCTTAGGATATTTCATTTTTCTAGGAGAGGGGTGGGTGCTAACTTCATACAACTCATAAGCTTGCCAACACTTCCTGATCAGGATGGAGCAGGTCACTTCCTGTCAATTGTTGTTTCAAAGGTTTTCCCTCCCTCACAGTTACAAGCACCGGAAGAACTGCTATGCCATCTGAATTCAAAGCTAGTTCCATATCGCCCCTAGAATGGTTCCTCATTTGTGGGTTTTTAATGTCATGCAACTTTCTGATCCATGGAAAAGATCTTCTCCTGAGTGGCTCTCAGGCCTAAGGAGCAGTATTCACCTCCTGTTTGGCCCTCATATAGAAAATGATATAATAAAGTCCTTTGCCAAGTTTTTGATTTACAATCAATTTTTAATGTCACTGATTTAATGTTTGTTTTAAACTCTGCATTTTTGTTTCATGGTGTAAGCCTGTTGCATGTTTATAGAAGTAGAAAAAGTAAGGTATAAATCAAACAAATTTGCAATTTGCCATAGTATTCCTTCACCTTGATGGGGTCATTTTCCCCTCTGTCAATTGAAAAGCATTATGGTTGGTACAGAGAGTTTTGCTAACTACCTACTATATATATATATTTATATTGTTTCTTGTCCAGTCAGTCTCTGAGAATTGGACATGACTGAACAGAAGGAATTACACAGACTCACACAAACACCACATGTACACATTTTCCAATTAAATATAACAAACATTTGTTCATCAATCATTCAAGTTACAACTGTGTGGACAGGCACAGTTAATGTTAAAGTGATAACATTACATTCTGATTTTAAGAATTGCAGCCATGGTTAAATATTTTTGGAGGCCTCCAGCCTGAAGTTAGGATTTCTTAGCTTAGCAGCCAATGTTTTATGGCCTATATATCTCTCCACTCTGGGAAGGAGAAAACAAGTAATTTCTCTAGGCAATCTTTCCTTTGTCTGTCTCCCATTATTCGCAGAATAGAAAAATTGAAGAGGAAGAGATTTCAAGAGAATAAACTGTTTGTTCTTCTACACATTGAGGGCTATACAATTGCACCAGCAGTGGGAAAGGGTCAGGCAAATGAGATAATGTTTTCTTTTTCTCTCTCTCACCACTGCCACATACAAGCAGATTGAACAGAAAGGGATTTCAAGAGAATAAGCTGCTGCATAGCACACACACGGCTCCCAAACTTGGGCTGTGGTATAATTACATTGTTTTTTATGTGTACAAGTCAGTAAGCAGGCACCCTAGTATTCCAAAGGGCAGGAATGGCTAGGAAGCAAATAAGAGCCTAAAATGTGAAACAAAGAGGCAAATAATTTTGTCTCTTTCTAGCAGGAAATTGAAGTTGTGATCATGTGATTTCTCCTTTTAAACTGTAATATAATTTTATTTATTTATTTAATATCCCATGTTTATTATTTAACAAATCACTTGAGGTGGTGAACATAGCTAATACTCCTTCCTTCCCCTATTTTCCCCATCACAACAACCCAGTGGGGTGGAGTGGATTCAGAGAAAGTGAATGGCCCAAAGTTATCAAGCTATCTTTCATATCTTGGGAAAGACTAGAGCTCACAGTCTCCTGGTTTATGTAATGTAATTGCAAGATGCAATATCAGGAAAGATTCTTTCTCTACCTTTGTTGGTCTGGAAATGTATGGCTGTTGTCATCCTGAGAGGCATCAGATTGGGGAAGACTGATTAGACTCATTTTATCAGATCCATCCATCTATCCATTCCAGTTTATTCTCTACATTTCTGTGTGATTCAGTGATATGATAGCAGCCTTTCCCAATCTGTTATCCTCCTGATATATTGGATGCAAGGCAGTGGTGGGATTCAATTTGTTTTACTACTAGTTCTGTGGGCATGGCTTGGAGGGCATGGTGTGGCTTAGTGGGCATGCCTTGGTGGGCAAGGCAGGGGAAAGTTACTGCAAAATCCCCATTCCCCACCCCCCACCCCACTAACTTTCTTTGCAGCTCCATACTCTTGTGCAGGGCAACAAAAGAAGACCCAGCTGATCAACTGGGACTCGGGAGGCAGAGAATAGATGGGGGCCGGGGCCAGTCAGAGGTGGTACACACACACACTTTTGGGAAAAAGAACCTTAAACCAAATGAGAGAATTAGCAGATTCTCAAATATTATAGAGTCACTGGAAAATAAATTTAATATTTTATTATGATCTGTTGCATAGCCAGCCAGCTGTTTAGACTGGAGTTGGCAGTTCTGTCCACTTATTGAGTCCTGCCCAGTGACCTGGGACATACAGTGTTATTTGATGGTATTAAAGTATCTTCACAGGATGTAAGCTGTTGTAAGTAAAGCTGCCTTTTGCAATTGACTGATGGTGATTTAATCAATGCTAATGGTGTTCAAGGAGTCATCCAGTTGTTTTGGGATTGATCCAAGGTGCCTATTACTATTGGTGCCATCTTTGCTTTCTTTTGCCACCGTTGTTCTATTTTTATTTGTGGATCTTTGTATTTTGTGTTTTTCTCCAGTTCTTTCTCTCATTCTGCTGTCTTCAGGTACTTCAAGCTCCACTGTCCAGACTTTTTTTTGTCTGTCTTATTGACAATTGTCAAGTCTGAGATCTTATTTGGCAGGTATTTATATGTTTGAATCCTACAGTCCCAGAACACTTCAGCTTCTTCATTTTCTATTGCTTTGTGTAGAATCAGGTTTTGCTTGCAACAAAATCTCTTTCTTGCAGAGATTCCAATACACCATTGTTGCTACTTTATCATATTGCTATTTCTAATTGATCTTCATGATTTTCTTTAAAAAGCTAAGTAGGTAGTCCACTGTTTCTTCAGCTTCTTTGCAGAGATAGTTTTTGCTGGCTTTTGCTGTCTTCTCAATTTTGGCTTTGTATGCATTTATTTTTAAGGCTTGGTCTTGTACAGCCAGAATTAGCCTCTCTATCTATCTCTTTCTTAAACTTTCCTGCTCTTAGACATTGTCAGGTCTTGTTATCTCTTTTGTCTGCTAAGCTTTTATGTATTGGCCAAGTAAAACATTGCGTTGCCATGTCTATTTTCCATTCTTCATCTGGTCTTGTAGGCCTGTTTTTTATTCTCTTCGGTATTCCGTAAGCCCTCAAGGTTTACTAGCTTCAGTGCATCTTCTTCACTGTCCTTCAGGTATTCTTTCATTTCCCTTTTTTCTTCTATCTACCATTCCATACCCATCTATTTTCCTTGGTAAGTAGCGCCTGTCAATATTGCTGTGAGGATGAAAGGCATGATTCATTGTCATTATTTTTCTGGTCTTCTTATCCAGGGCTTGTAACTCTTTTTGTGCCCAGTCCACTATAGCAGCTGTGTACCTAATGACTGGAATTGTACAGATGTTAACTGCCATGATGGTATTTCCTCTAATGAGTTTGGACTTTAAGATTTTGTTTACTCTCATGATGTATTCACTTCTAACCTTCTTCTTGACTTCAGGGTGCTTAAGGTTGTCAGCTTGAAGGATGCCCAGGTTTCTTAACCAGTATCTGAGTGGTGCCTTTAAAAGGAAACCCAGAAATGAATATTCTGCTATGGTTCCAAATCACTCCTAGAGCTAAGAAAGAGAAATGAAAGTATTCAGAGTGGTTCAGTCTAGAGGATTTTCCCACTGTGAGCTATATTGAGGTTACAAAAAGCAGAATGGGAGCACACATATTCCACACACAGCACCTGAGGTATAGTAAACTTTGAAATGAAACATATATCCACATTGCAGTAAAGAGGTTAAGAGTCTCTAGGTAAGAAACAGCAGATAGGGCCTCAGAAACAGCAATTTATCTTTCCTGACTACCCTTGAAAAAGAACAAACATGGGAAATATTATTTCTACTTTAATAATTATCTTTTACCCACAAACTTCAATACCTGAACCCAAAAGGTGCTGCTTCATGTTAAGATATTTGTAAGGAAACCTAAAAAAATAGTACTTACTTTGTTGCATAGAATATTTACCCTGCTGTGTGATTCAACGATCCCAAAGAATAATTATTTTTCTCTCTACAAGATGGTCAACAAATAGTTCACTGTGGTACATTTGAGAATTTATTTTCTTAACTGTTTTTATAAGGCTGCTAAAATAGATAGGAAAACTGGGCAGGCTGCAGAAGGGAAGTTGAGAGATTCTACCCCACCTCAAATTTAATCGTGGCTTAAGTTCACTTTCCCAGCCTAAATTGATAAAGGCAGAATGTAACATTACATGAAAATTGAAGGAAGATTTTAAAAATGAATGGATGGCAGACATCTTTCAAATGCATGGGAGGCCCAAAAGCAACAACAACAATAACAACCAACAATAAAACCCCACCATTGTATTTCCAAAGAGCTGTGATAATGCAGTGATAAGAATGCTTTATTGCAGGCTACTTCTGCTGACTGCCAGCAGTTCAATTCTCACCAGGCTCAAGGTTGACTCATCCTTCTGAGGTCAGTAAAATGAGGAGCCAGATTGTTGGGGGCAATAGGCTGATTCTGTAAACCACTTAGAGATGGTGGTGGGATTCAAAGAAAATTACTACTGGTTCTGTGGGCGTGGTTTGGTGGGCGTGGTGTGGCTTGGTGGGCATGGCTTGGTGGGCATGGCAGGAGAAGGACATTGTAAAATCTCCATTCCCAACCCACTCCTAGGGGAAGGTTACTGCAAAATCCCATTCCCTCCCTACCCCACTAACCTCTTTTCCAGCTTCGTACTCCAGTGCAGGGCAACAAAAGAAGACCCAGCAGATCAGCTGGGACTTGGGAGACAGAGGATAGATGGGAGTGGGGCCAGTCAGAGGTGGTATTTGCCAGATCTCTGAACTACTCAAAATTTCCATTACTGGTTCTTCAGAACTGGTCAGAACCTGCTGAATACCACCTCTGCTTAGAGAGGACTATAAAGCACTGTGATGCGATATATAAGTCTAAGTGCTATTGCTATAATTTTAAAGCTGGAGTGTACTATTTTTTGTTTTCTTTTTTTAATCAGAGGATGCACTGAGGATGTGAGTAATGAGACCAGGCTCCAGTCCCCCTCCTCCAAAAAAAAAACCCCTCAACCCATAGATGAAGTCAGGACATTTAAATAAAAAGTTATTTTACATCATTTACATTTACAGCTGGTTAAAATGAATGGAAAGGTTGATATGATTGCTCTTCAGTCCTGTATTAATAATTCTTCCCTTCTGACAGATTAAAAAACTACAATATAATAACAATGTTTGGAGATCTCCAAAGGTTAGGCTTTTCCGATCGTATCCTTTTGCCATAAAAGACAGATAATGCTTCATTTTTCTTCTTTTTCCTATGCAGACATTCACATGTGCTTCCATCCAGAGATGGCAATCTTACTATGAACAAATAAGCAATGACCCCTTTTTGGAAAAACTCCCCATGACACATATGAATAATATCTACTTCAGTCTCACACATACACATACTAGTCATTTTTCTTTTCTGTCAATTCTACCACCCTTGATGAAAAATCCTGATGAAAAGAATTGGGAAGAAAGAAATGGGTTCTTTTTGATCAGCACATATATTTGTAAACACCTCTGTCACTATAAATTAGTGTTGCAAAATATTATAGCAATGACACCTAGTCTTTCATCCCAGATCCTATCACTAAGAACACACCATTACCTATGTGGACTTTAGGTTTAAACAACTCCTTAATTATTATTTCCTATTGAACTCTATTACTGATAGAATTCATCCACAAAATGAATTTATTTTATATTTCACTTATATATAATATGTTATACATATTTAATATAAACTAGGCATATAGTTTATATGACAAGATAAAACTGACAATGTGTGTGGGAATAACATATCAAAAATATCAGTTAAATATTCCTGCACTAAACATCCTTGAAAATGTTTCTAGTAATTTGTTTGACTCTGAAACTGCCAATTATAAATCACTGCCACCATTTTGGCAATTGGAACAATTTTCTCAAATAGGAAAAGGCCTATCATGAAATGATTGCCTTAGGGTATAAAAATGGACATTTTTAGAGAACAGTGCAGTTTGTCATATAGTTTGCCCTGCACACGAAAAACAGTGGGGAAAAAAGCTTTAAAAGCTTTAAAATATTCTAGCTGCCCATCAGATAAAACATTTAAAATTGACTAAAGTAAGTAAAACAGAAAAATAAATTGTGTTCCTCCCACCTTCCTCAGGTTGCCATAGGAGGCATCTAACAATAAACGATCAGCAATACCAGCGCAGTAGGACCAAAAAATTATGCCATTTTCCTTGTTCTTCCAGAAATCAATGAGCTTGACACTTATTTACCCCCTGACACGATGCAAAGGGAGAGTTAGAAATAGGCAATCAGGAAGGAAAATGTAACCCAGATTGCCTGGAGTAATAAAACAGAGAGAGGAAGCAGGAGTTTTTACCTCAGTCTGAACTGCCATATTTAAACACTCAATATCTAAACCACAGAATTATATTTCTCACAAGACTGTCAAGGTGCCAACTGGGCATAATGATGACTTTAATAATTTTAAGAGTGCTAATATTTTAGGGGATGAATTTCTAACATATGGCAGCAACTTCTGAGTTTAAAAATGCTGTAGTTGGCAAAGTTTCTGTGGATGGTTAGTTAGCCTTACTATTACTTAGACTGTAACATAATGGAAAGCAACCGTCTGGCATAAGAGAATGTAAAATCCTGCTTTGGTCTGAATCCAAGACAGAAGTGCTATTGGCATTTTGTTACTGCGCCAAGCAGAATAACAGGAAGCCCAGCCAAACTACCCTACATAGAATGGCGTTTTTCCCAATATTCAAGCCTTTTGTGTGAGATAAAATATTCTATTATATTACAGTTTCGGCTCTCTCCCCATTAGGTTCTCAGGTGGTATATCTCCTTAAAGTTCTGAAGTTATTTTTCTCCCTACCATCTGTCTCCACAGCTGGACATAGCAAAGTGCAACACTTCAACCAAACATGTGAAGCTGCAGGATATTAAATTGCCCCCCCCCCCCCCCACACACACACAATTCCAAGGGGACCTGGAGTCAAAGGGCCTAGAAACTTGGCTGAACATACCGCAGTGGATACATTGCAAACCTTTAAAACAGTTTTTCTGTGTGTGTGATTCTGGGTGTATGTATATGTAGCAACATGTGTTGGAATTGGGTGCAGCAATTTAAATTAGCTTCCTTGACAGGTTTTTCTCCCTTCCCCACCTGTTCTTTTTCCTCAAAAACATGAAAAAAATAATGTATTCATTCATACTGTATGGTTTATTGCCATAGAGAGGCAATAAAGAAATAAATATCTAGCGATTTGTTTATTGTAGTAAGATTTGTAAATGCTAGGAGAATGAAGATTTTCCTTCAATTTCACTTCAGAGAAATCTAGACACTGAAAAGTTTAAAGGAGCTAGGTTGAGCCTAGGCAAATTGAAGACTTGTGGACCTCAACTCCCAGAATTCCTTAGCTAACTACGCCACAAGTTTTAAAGCTAATTGCTTGGTCTGCTAAGGGAATGGATAAAAGCAAGAAGAAAGAATCTATGCACTGGCAGCCAATGAAATTCCCCCTTTTTAAGAGATTTTTTATGGAAGAGAAGGGCTAGGACTTTGTTTCATGGCCCTCTATAGTGACAGTCATGGGGTCCAAAATACTTCTTGGGTTAGAGAGGATGGAGACCTTGTAAGTTGTATTTTGTACGTTGATGACAGAACAATCTCGTTCTTTCAGTTTTGTCTTTATTTTTCTTTTATCTCCAATTACGCATTGTATTTTATTATTGTTCATTATTATTATTTTGAGTCACCCAAAATTGTTTTGGAGTACCTAAACTGAATAAATTAATTTATATTTCAGTGGTTAATCCTCATATTTTATCATTGTTTTCAGTTCCTTTGGAGTTACCCTAGTGTTATTTATGTATATTTACTTAGAAAATGTATAATTTTTTGATGTTGTTACAACTATAACTAAAACTTGCTATTGTTTTATAAGGTCCAGCAGCTTGCAAGTTCATATAAATTGGGAAATCCCATTAAAAATTTCATTCATTTTGGAACATTTTTTCAACTTTATGATAATGCTAATATATGTGTACACTGAATACATATTTTCCCCTCAATTTCAATATCATACATTTTGGCTGCACAATTTTGCTGCACCCACTTATTACGTGGTCAAGAGACTCTTTTTCTTTGCAAAAATTACATTTACCATGGTTTCTTTTTTCTTGTTCTTTCTTTTTTGGATTTTCATTTTTAAGGCATGACTTGTTAGTGCCTGTTCTTTTTTTTCTTCTTGATGGGTGCAGTGTGACATTATTGCCAAGTTTGGCTGATGTTGATCATTCTTCAGTTTCTCTCAAATATTGACCTATAGAAGTTTACATTTCCAATTTTTCATTCACTGTTGGAATTGTTCAGTTTTGTATGTCACCTTACTTTGCTTATTACTATGTAGTCATTTAAATCTCTGATTTTATTCTCCACTGTCTGCTTCATTTGCAGCAAACCATAACCACCAATCCTCCTTGGAAAATACAAACAATTTGTATCACTTTTTTAGGTGTTCCACATGATATATTGTCACAATTTTTCATCTTTTGTGGTCTAAAGCATCTATTCATACATATCTAAAGTCAACAAGACTTGTTGTGTAGCATTGTTACAGGGACAGCCCAAGTATTAAAGCTTTGAATTTAGCTTTGATTGTAAACTTTTCTGGTTCTACATACAGTATTTGGTAGTGTCTTTTTTTTTAGCTTTAGTTGGCAAAATATTGCTTGCATCTATGCATTAAATTTTTCCTTTTTTGTAAACAACCATTATTTCTGTTCCAAATTCTGTTTTGATGTTGCAACTAAAGATTTGAACTGTATCTAAAATCAGTTGTCTTGCTAGATGATTTTTC